CACATCTTGCAATATTTCTCAAGCTCAGTTAGGTGGTGGAAATGTCATAGACCACATGTTACTGCACACCTCTTCCAGCTCCATATTTGGAGATACCACGCTGATAGTTTGATAGTCACCATGGTGGAATATTCATACTATGGGAATCAAGAGAAGCTACATATCACGGCTCTCCCTTCCTCCATTCATAGAACCTGTTGTTAAACACTTACCGGTACATGTGCAGTCATGTTTACATGTCACATCTGAGACAACTTGCCAGCCAGCAGTAGACCCAGCACAGTCATATTCTTCTCTGACGTTACAACAGATGTCTGTCCCTTCAGTTGTATCACAAATGAAGTCTGTGGCTTTAATTCTCAGTGCCATGTTGTTTGGGGGGGTGGGGTGGGAATATTTCTTTCAAAATATTTTAATCATGCTCAAGTCATTTGCAATACTGAAGGCTCTATGGACAAAATATTGGAGGATCCAAAGAAGATGAAAGTAATATACAGTCTCTGTAGCAAAAATCATTGGTTTCCACTGAACCATTTGACAGAGTAGTTTATAATCAAGAACGAGTGGTACTTATGGAAGAAGTCAAAGCTGCTCTAAAAGCATTGGCAAGAAATTAAGGTGCCAGGAATTGATAAAATCCCAATTGAGGTATCTAGTAAAAAATGCAACCCTGGACAGGTTCACTAGTCCACACAAAGAAATTTGGAAGACAGCCACCTTGCCAATGGCTTGGAAGAGATCCATATTTGTTCTCATTTTTTTAAAAAAAGTGATCCAATAGGGTACAGAAATTATTAAATAAAGTTATTAATACCACACAAAAGTAACATCTTGTTGAAGAGTAATTAAAAATGACTGGAATAGTATGTAAACAAGGAACTGTCAGAAAGTAAAGCTGGATTCAAAAGAGATTGGAAATTAAAACAAAAGAGTATGGAAAGAAAGGACATCATTGCTGAAGTCAGATGGATTTGGGGTGAATGTAGAGAATATCAGAAAGATATTTACTTGTATTTTATTTACTATGCAAAAGCATTTGACTATGTGGAATTTAACAAATTATAAATGGCTTTGAGAATAATTAGGAATCCCAGACATTTAATTGTACTCATGCAAAACTTATACTAAGAACCTTGGAAAACCTCTATGCCAAGAAGCAGTCACTCACACAAAACAAGAAGACACTGTTTAAAATAAGGAAAGCAATGTGCTGGAGTTTATCCTTTCTCGATATCTGTTTGATCTGTATGATGAGCAAATCATTCAAGACGCTGAACTATAATGAAGAATATGGCATCAATATCAGAAAACTTATCAACAAGCTGTGTTGTGCAGATGGCAGAACCTTTCTTGCAGCAAATAAAGAAGATTTAGCACAAAGTGCAGAAGATCAAAGACTACACCCTTAAATATGGATCACATCACAGCATCAAGAAAACAAAAATCCTTACCATTGGATCAATAGGCAACATCATGATAGATGGAGAAAAGATTGAAGTTGTCAAGGATTTCCATTTACTTGGATCCACAGTTAACACCTTTGGAAGTAGCAATTAAGAAATCAAAAGACATGTCCATTGAGCAAATCTATTAGCAAGGATCTCTTGAAAGTTCTAAAGAGCAAGGAGGTCAATTTCATGACTAAGGTATACCTGATCCAAAGCAAGGTTCTTTTCAACTGCTTCCTATGCATATGAATGTTGGACAACCCATCAGGAAGACTGAAGAAGAATTGTTGGTATTAGAGAAGAGTATTGAATGTACCATGAACTGCCAAAGAACAAGTAATTTTATTTTGGAAGAAGTGTAACCATAATTCTCCTTAGAGGCAAAGGTTGGAGAAATTTCATCTCACATTGAGATGTTACCAGGAGGCAACAGTCCTTAGGAAAAAATATCATGCTGGAAAAAATAGAGGACCAACCAATATGAAGAAGACCTGCAAAGAGATGAATTGACCCAGTACTGAAACAATAGGTCCGAGAGTGAGGGAGATATGAGGCTGGAGCTGGATAGGGTAAGGTTTCAACTTGCTGTTCCTAGGATCACTAGGAGTCGTAGCTGGTGTGATGACACTGAACAAAAGTATTTTCCTAGTCCAACTGATAAGGATCCCGTAGGCTCAGCCCCAGTAAACCCTGTTCTTCTACCTCTTGGGTAAGATAACCCTACCCCCTAAGCTTTGGGAAGCAGATGTGTCCTCATTCACTCATGAACTACAGCCTCAGGTAACAGAACTGAGCTGTTGAAAATTTAAGTCTTTGAGACCACTCAGCAGACTATGTGGCACTTTCACCTTTTTAAACCCCAGGGACCTTAGCGGTACCCATTGCTACTGAGGCCGATCTGCTTCCTTGTTTCTTTACCTTCTGCTTCCTGGTTTTTAGTCTCTCCAAGAGACCAGATTACTTCTGTCATGCTCAGGCAAGTGCTACAGATCTCCAGCTCTACTGAAAGTGCCTGGAGGCATGGCACCCTATCCTGCCAGAAACCCTCAGCTTGAAGACATTCAGCTCTCTCAATCTGTGCTTTGGGGAATCACCCAACACTTCCAGAAAGCCTCCTGCCCAGAGGCGTTCAGGTACATTGCTCTGAGAGTCAACTCTTCCCAAGTTCCTGGATGTACACCTGCCATTTCTGTTTCTGTCTCTTGTCATATGTCTGGTGTCACAAGTCTCCTCACTTCCTTCTGAGCCCTCCCCAGAATTGCCTTTGATGAAAAATTCCACCAATAGTCTTTTCAGGGGCAATCTAGGCCTCTACTATTATCAACTGTTGTTAATTGCCTTCAAGAGGAGCATGACTCATAGTGACCCTATGAACAGAAGGCTTGAAGCCCCTCTACAACTATCAACATTTATCAAAGTTCATCATTTCCGGAGGCATGTGGTTTAGAAAGTGGATGCCACTCCTAGAATCAATGCCTTTGAGTTGTGGTGATAGAGATGAGTGCTGAGTCTCCCATGAGTTACCAAAAGGGCAAACAAGTTTGTCTTGGAGAAAGTACAACTAGGGAGCTCCTTGGAAAGAAAGATGGTAAAGCTTAATCTCACATCCTTTGGGCATGTTGTTGAGAAGGCCAGGCATTATGCTGGGAAAGGTAAAGAGTTGAGGTAGGAGAGGAAGACCCTCAACAAGATGAATTAACACAGTGACTATAACAATGTTGTTGTTGCTGTTATTAGGTGCCATCAAGTCAAGTAAGACCCATAGTGACCCAATATACAACAGATCTGAACCCTGTCCTATCTATCCTGTGCCATCCTCACACTTCCTGACACATTAGAGCCCACTGCTGCAGTCACTGTGTCAATCCACCTGGTTGGGGGTCTTTGTCTCCTTAGGCAACCCTCTACCTTTCTAAGCATCATGTTCCTTTCCAAGGAATAACCCCCTCCTAGCAACATGTCCAAAGTACGTGAGGCCGAGTGTGTGAGTGCTCCAAAGAGCATTCTGGCTGCACCCTCTCTAAGAGATATTTGTTTACTCTTTTGGCAGTATGTGGGATGTTTCATACTCTTCTCCAATACCACAGCTAAAGGCATCAATCCTTCTGTCGTCCTTATTCATTGTCCAGCTTTCAGATGCACAGCATAACACAGTAGCAATGGGCTCCAATATATCGGACATGGTGAGGACGGCATAGGAGGGGGCAAGGTTCAGATCTATTGTTCACAGGGTCACTATGAGTTACAGTCGACTTGATGGACCATAACAACAATAACAACTACCATCCAGTTAATTCCTACTCATGGTGACCCTCTATTGAATGTCCAAGGCTGTAAATCTTTACAATAAGAGACTCTTCATCATTCTCCTGGAAGATTCAAACCTTGACCTTTCAGTAAGCAGTGCAACGACAGAAGCAGACCTCCTTAAGATTTTACTATTTAAAAGACAACTTCAAACTCATTGCCATAAGTTGGAGCCAACTTATAGCTGACCCTCCACCAGGTTTTTGGAGATGACAAATTACATGGGAGGAGTTTGTGCATCTTTCTCTTGAGGAGTTGTGGGTTGAGTCAAACTTCCAGAGAGGCATGGGCTTTGGGTTGGCAAGACAGCTCCCTGTGGACTGTGCCCCTAACCTCTACTCATTACCAAGTTCTAAAACCATTTCCACATTTTAAGTATCTACACTCCACTCTCCCAGTATCAAATGCCATCTCAGTTATTCAATGCTGCTGTAACAGAAATATCACAAATGAATGACTTTAACAACCAGAAAATATTATCTCATAGTTTAGGAGGTGACATGTTCAAATGCAGAGTGCTGGGTCTAACAGAACCCTTTCTCTGTGAGTCTCCTGGTGCTAGGAGGCTCCAAGTGCAGGAACTCCAGGTCCAAAGGGCATGCTCTGCCCTTGGCTCTTCTTTCTTGGTTAGAGTAGGTCTTTCTCTATCTCTACTCTCTTATCTCTCCTTTTAGCTCTTCTAACATAAAAGGTAATGCAATTCACTCTTGGGAAAACTCCTGTTACATCTGCTCAGGTGTGTGATTTAACTAAGGGGTTTGCTTCCTACTCAAATCCCTTACAACAGATCAAGGCTGATCACATCAGATCACATCATAAGTGATGATTATATCAATACAATCCAAGAATGACATTATTACACTAAGAATCAGAGTCCTTCCAAGTTAACACATATTTTGGAGGACACAATTCAATCCATGACTACTACTAAATATCACTGTACAGTTTTCAAAAGATTCACATACATTATGTAATTTAGCTCATAAAAACAAATCCCTATTTTACATATGGAGAAGGGGATGAAAATAAACCACATCAGATTATCTACTAGATGTCAGAGATTATGAGCCAGACACCATGCCAAGTGATTTGCATACATTTGTTCATTTAATATCAACAGTCTGCTGTTGTTGTTGTTGTTGTTTGCTATCAAGTCAGAACTGAGTCATAGCTGACCCTCCAGCAATTTTTCAGAGGCAATAAATCACCCAGGTGGAGAATGCCTGTCCTTCTCCCATGGAGCAGCTGTTGAATTCGAACAGTGTGCCTTTGGGATGGCAGTGCAACTTCTTACCACTAGGTTACCAGAGTAAGCACTATTATTTGCCCAATTTTACAGATGAAGAAAAAAAAAATCAAGAAAATGGTGCATTAGTTGCAGTAAGAACTCGAACTCACATGAGTTTTTTGCTCATTGTTCAGAATTGTGTTTCACAAATTAAGAAACCAGACTCTAGAAAGTAATACGGCTTACTTGAGACTCAGTACTATATTTTTTTTTTCTTGAGGATGGAAACCTATATATATGATTTGAAAAACAGAAATTTCTTTCTTAAAAGATGGCCTCTACTACCCTGCAGTTATTTCTGGAAAACGAAATAAACTTCCCTACTTGTTGGTGTCCATCCAGCAGAGAAAAGTAAGCGATTTAGAGCATAATTACTGTGCCTTTTTCTGTCAGGAAAGACTTGCCAAGTGTCATGGTACGCAGTGTGGATTCTGCAGCCCAGGGATGGTGATGTCCATCTACACACTACTAAGGAACCACCCAGAGCCAACCCCTGAACAAGTAACAGAAGCTCTTGGAGGTAAGTCTTCTTAACTGGGAACAGGGGTGGAAAGCACTCAAGTATAAATTGTGGTAAAACTTTTGAGATCAAAAAGCTTCACCAATATGTCACCTCCTTGGTGCCTATCTTAACCCAAGTCCTCTTTGTAAAAGCCTGTCTTCATTTCAGTCATAATGATGTCAGGAACTAAAGTGTGTATCTTCTAAATCATCAACTGATAGAATATTACTACTTCATTTCATTTCCCCCGGATGACTAAGGAAAATAATTTTAAATTTCTACTATTTTTTCTTAGAATCACAGGTGTATCTGTGATTGTTACTATGACTTTTGCTTGCTGGCTTTTTAGTATCACTTCTAGGCTTAACATCACCAAGAATGAAAATTAAAAAAACTTTTGATACTGGCTTACTTCAGCCTTTAAAAATGTTTGCTTACATTTTAGAACAGTGAAAGCGTCTGTTGCCTAAATCTATTTCCCTCAACATAATTTTCATTTAGATAATTTAGCTCCTTTACTCTACTTCAAATGAGAGATTCAAAAAAATAAAATTAAAAAATGAGAGATTCAAAATCTACACTTTTCCATGTTTTTTCTTCTTTATTAGCAAAAAGAAAGAAATATTAAGGAGCCTACCCATTCTTGGGCATGCAATTTCATCCTGAACTATTCTCATTCTAATAAAAACAAAGGAGCTTCCCTGTTACACACATTTTTGTCCCTCACTGCTACTAAACTTTCACACAACACTTTACTCCTAGGTGTTTAAAGCTCCCCAATCCACACATATCTATTTCCCAATAATTTTTACATGTCTTTGAAGAGAATTTTTTAATGTTTATTTTACATTGGTATGTTGTTGTTGTTGTTATGTGCCATCGAGTCACTTGTGACTCATAGCGATCCTATGTACAACAGCCCTAAACTCTGCTCTGTCCTGTGCCAATCGCACTGTCTCTGACACTCCCATCCCAATTATCCTAGTCACTGAATCAATCCACCTCATAGAGGGTCTTCCCCTCCTGCACTGTCTCTCCACCCTCCCAAGCATGATGTCCTTCTCCAAGGACCGGTCTCTCCTCACAACATGTCCAAAGTATGTTAGATGGAGCCTCAGAATCCTTGCCTCCAAGGAGCCACCCATTTTAACCCTTTCCAGGATGAATCTGTTTGTTTTCCTAGCAGTCCATGGGACCCTCAATACTCTTCTCCAGCACCACAGCTCAAAGGTATCAATTCTCCTTCTATCCTCCTTGGTCATTGTCCAACTCTCTGATGCATAACAAGTGATTGTGAAGACCATGGCCTGTATCAGACGCACCTTAGTCGCATACAAAATTTGTATACAACATGTTTCACATTTTCGTTCACTTACATTGTGCTTCAGACAATCATTCTCCTATATTGTATTTTATAAAATTAATCACCATTGAATTATACCTATCATTATCCCATCTTTTCAGGTCCTCACCAGATCTTTCCATTTCCTTTAACCCCTCCCTCCACCCACCAAATGAAGATAATAACTTTAACTTCACTTTTTTATTTAAATAATAGCATTTCATTGTGGAAAATGCTCATTAAAAGATGGGAGTTGGGGAGAACTAATTTCCATTCCTGTCACCAAGAGATCACCAGATGGGTGTTAGTATGAAGAAGGTATGTTTTCTTATGAGGGAACTTAAGGGAGAAGAGACAGCAATGAAAATGTCTGATGAAGGGTCAGACAGACATTATGGGGGAATATTAGGTACATCATTAAAGAAGGCATGGGGATTCAATCGAAAGAGTTGATAGGAAAAAATATCATGAAGAGCTTCATATTATTTCAGGAAGAAAATGTAATCAAAATTTCAAATTTTTTCCATTTTTATTTTATGTTGGTTTGCTTATAAAATTCATATACATTGTGTTTCACATTTTCCTTAATTCACATTGTGTTGCATACAATTGTTCTAAGAACAGCTCCTCCCAAAACAGCTATTTCAAAACCCCATTTTATTCAGGGTGGGAGAGGAAGCCTTTAATCACTAACCTAACTACTCCATTGAACGTATAAAGTACAGATAGGCAATATACACTATTCATTAAAGATTAATCCTGTCTTAATTAGGTAATTTGTGTCGCTGTACTGGATATCGACCAATTGTAGAAAGTGGAAAAACATTTTGTGTGGTAAGTTTAACCATATATGTATTCATTCTGTTTATTTAATATCTTAATACATTTTCACATAAAACAAGAGTTCTAGTGACACAATGGTTAAAGCACTTGTCTGTTAATGATCAGGTCAGCAGTTCAAACCTACCAACTGCTCTGCAAGACATAGAAGCAGCAGTTTGCTTTTGTAAGAGCTACAGCCTCAGAACTCTTTGGAGTGGGTCTTTCTAACATATAGGGCTATGGTGAGTTGCCAGTTGATTTTGGTTTGGGGTTTGTTTTGGTTTGTTTTTTTCACTCAATAAAGCAAGAGCGGCATCCATTTCCTAAACAGCAGGCCTCTGGAAACTGTGAACTTTGATAAATGGCTATGGTTGTAGAAGGGCTTCAGGCCTTTAGTTCATGCTCGACTAGACAGCAATCAACAACAATCACTAAAATAACTCAAACTTGCACTTTCTAATCATCAAAATTTGTTCAATTTCCTCTACTTTGTATTTATTCAGTAAACTAGCAGCTACTGTAAGTGTAGTCCTAAATTAAGAACTTTGCTAAAAATATAAAACATAAGGTCCATGACTTTAAGAAACGCATACTGTTTTAAGGAAAACGAAATCTAGGCTAAGAACTCATAAAAGCATAATAAAAAACCCAAGATATTGGAGTCTTGAGATATTATAAATATCAGACTATTATTGCTATGTGCCATTGGGTCTCCTGCAACTTATCGTGATCCTATGCACAACAGCTCTGAACCCTGCCCTAACCTGAACCAGTCTCACTGACTCCGACACAAGTAATCCCATTGCCCCAATTATCATGCCAATCCATCTCATTCCAGTTCTTCCTCTCCTGGGCTGCCCTTCCAGCCCACCAAGTATGATGTTGTTATTCAAAGGCTGGTCCCTATAAGTTTTGAAAATTAAAGAGAGTTAATGAATGAGAAACAAAGGATTCTTATACCAAGTCTTAAAAGAATTGATAGAAGTAGATTAAGAATGTTGGACATCTTTCTTTTTCCTGATGCTTTGCATCTTCTTACATGAAAATTTCTACTTCACTCCACTATTTTTATCATTTCTTTTAAGATCTGGTGTAAGACTCCCCCTCTGCCTTGGAGAAGGTACAACCAGGGTTCTCCATAGAAGAAAGGATGGTGAAACTTCATCTCACATATTCTGGGCATGTTGTTAAAAGGGCCAACCTTGGAAAAAGACATCACACTGGGAAATAGAAAGTAAAAAGAAGGAAGACCCTCAACAAGATGGATTGACAAAATAATTACAAGAATTGATCTACACTCCTCATTCCTCCATCACGAACTTCTTTCAACTCCTGATGAAAAAGAAGGAACTTATTCCTTTGGTGCTGTTTATGACCATGGCAGGGACCGGAGCATCATCTTTTGCTGTTTATTCCCTTAGAAAAAGTGATATGATCATTAATCGAAAAAGAAATCCAGAACCTTGGGAAGATGTGGATCCGACTGTACCTCAAAAGCTCATAACAATCAAGCAAGAGTGGAAACCCATTGAAGAGTTGCAGATGGTCCGAAAGGCAACCAGATGACCGGACTTCTCTTCTTTCTCGCAAAGAAAATGAAGCTAGTGGAAACACTTCTGCACAAACTAGATTATGCATACCAGTGTGCGGAAATGCTTCTGCTACATTTTTAGGGTTTACCTACATTTTGGACTTCAAATGAGAAATTAAAGGTAGTACAATAATAAAAAAAAATTGATCTAATCATGTTGGAGATTGTGAGCTTAGGGCAGCATAGGACAAGGTTCAGATCTACTGTTCATAGTGTCTCTATGAGTGGAAGTTGACTTGATGGTTACCTTACAGCAGCTAAGGTTCACAAAAGAAATTAATGTGACAAGAGCATCAAGGAGTAAAAAAGTACTACTGCTGGCTAAGAAATTTGGGCATAAAGATGATGTCCAACATGTGCTCATTGTTCTCAAGCTAGGAGAACCGTCTACAGAGGAAAAAAATCTTGCTTGGAGAAAGATTATCATGCTAGAGACACTGTGGGCTGAAGGCATGGACTAGTGCAATATCTCATGCATGTGAGAATGAGAATCTAGATGACTGTGGCAGATATAGAGACAGGAAGATGACTTTCATGAAAGGGACTTCCAGAATCATGACAACCGGGCCATGAAGGAAACAGTGAGAAAGGCAGTAAAGGCACCTTCAAAGCTGAGAACTGAAGGAGCTGATAGGGATGAAGTGTGTGTGTGTGTGTGTGTGTGTGTGTGTGTGTGTGTGTGAAAAATTTTAAAGGAAGTTATCTTCCCAGGGCTTCATTAAAGACACATCCAGACCATCTATGACAATAAACACAAACTACATATTATATTTGGGTTTCAATTTTCCCAATCAACACATTATGACTATACTTCATTTAGTAGACAGCGAGAAAATTTTTAAGGAACCCTGGTGTGGGCCGTGATTAAAGTGTCAGGCTTCTGACTGAAAGGTTGATGATTTGAACTCACCAGCACTTCACAGGAGAAAACTATGGCCATCAACTTTGGTAAAGACAACAGTCTTGGAAACTGCAGTGGGTAGTTCTGCTCTGTTCTGTAGGGTCCTAGTGAACGGGAATCCACTTTGACCTTTAGAAGGAAGCATGAGGTAACTGACCTCACCCTCCTCTAATCCCACTGTTTTGCCATAAGACTTGGGTAACACTTTCTCCAGGTTATATCATGAAGATGACTCCACATCCATTCTTATGCTCTCTGAGTCAGTAGCGGTTCCTCACCCACCACATTATAGTCCTTGAGGGTGTTCAGTTGGGAATAACTGGTTCCTTACACACTAGATTATGGCTTCTTTGAGGGTAAGAACCCTCTCTACTCCTTCTTCCACAGCTCCTGTGGGGCCTGGTATGTGTCAGTACTCAGGCTGGTGTTCAGAGAACCAATCAATAAATCTGTTTTAAATTGAATTTCTTTCTAAGAAATCAACTGTTTGTCAAATGAAGGGATCAGGAAAATGCTGCATGGATCAAGAAGAGAGCTCCTGTGTGAATAAACCAGAGAAAGTAAGTATTTGGTTTCCCATTTTGTTGGGATTAACTAAAAAATACCCACATAAACCCAAATTTGTTCTGTTACTATTCTTTTCTGTGAGTAAAGTGCGAAATCGCTGAATTCAGGGAATAAAGAGTCTTTAAAAGCTCCCAAAATTAGTGAGCCCACATCTTTTTTGAAGTCAGTCAACAAAGACTATTATCCTTCTGGATATACAACTTCCTTTGCCTAATCCAGACCTATCCAACATCTTACTCTCATTAAGTACATAAACAGTAATGCGGCTTTATGCTCATAAATAAATATCCACAAATGATACCAAAAATGATAGTTCCAAAAATGATACCCAATTTCAGACATAATGAAGAAGTCCATAGTCCAGAAAATATGAGGGGAATCATGCTACAGTCCTATTAGAATGAAACTCTTCATTAGAAGTGATTACATTTTGTTTCAGTGTCATAAGTGCAAGTTCTAGTTCTGCCTTCACAGACCCTTGACCAGGTCTCAACAACTGTGAAAGTCCATTTTTTATTATGTCTTTTTTTTTCAGATATGCACAAAATTGTATGATGAAAATGAATTCCAGCCCTTCGATCCAACCCAGGAACCTATATTCCCTCCTGAACTAATAGTAAGATATTTCTTTTATTTTCTGCTCATTGTTTATACAAAACATTCTTTTGTGCTCTATTGTGTAATGATGCAATGTAGTAGCTGAATTTTTTTTACATTAAAATTTGGAAGAGGCCCTACACAACCAACTTTTGGGCATTTGCTCAACATCACTGCAAATAATTTAAAGTATGCTGCTTAGATGTGTGGTTTTCTGAGAATTCAACTAAAGAACCTGAGAGTCAGAGTTTAAATGATGCGCACAAGCTCACACAGCTACTCTGTGAAGTAAATATTTTTGTAAGATGAGTAAAGAAAAAACCGAATTCTAGTTATTATGACAGAATCACATTATCTTCCAACTTATTTGATGGTCTCCATGCACTAGGGGAAGGGTTAAAGGAAGAGAATAAATAGTGTTAGGTACCTGCCATTTTGTTCCATGATATTATGCACTGGAGAGACATCAGTTTACTGACTCCTCAAAAGGTCTCAGTTTTTACTTATTTAAAGATAAAAATATTACATATGTTCTGTTTATAAGGGAGCTTTTGTGGTAAGGAGTTGTGTTGTCAACCTAAAGGCAAGAGGTTCAAATCCACCAACTGCCCCAAGGGAAAAAGGTTGGCAATCTCCTCCTATGCTACCTACAGCCTCTGAAAATCCACTAGACGGTCAGCGATGAATTGGTTCTGACTCAAAATCAAGGAGGATAGAAGGAGAATTGATGCCTTTGAGCTGTGGTGCTGGAGAAGAGTATTGAGGGTACCATGGACTGCTAGGAAAACAAACAGATTTGTCCTGGAAAGGGTTAAACCGGGTGGCTCCTTGGAGGGAAGGATTCTGAGGCTCCGTCTAACATACTTTGGACATGTTGTGAGGAGAGACCGGTCCTTAGAGAGGGACATCATGCTTGGGAGGGTGGAGGGACAGTGCAGGAGGGGAAGACCCTCTATGAGGTGGATTGATTCAGTGACTGGGATAATTGGGATGGGAGTGTCAGAGACAGTGCGATTGGCACAGGACAGAGCAGAGTTTAGGGCTGTTGTACATAGGGTTGCTGAGTCACAAGTGACTCGACGACACATAACAACAACAGCAAAGAGCAACAACAATGCACATGGAACAAATATTTTAAAAATCCAACTATACTGTACCTAATAAATGGCTTAAGATTTTTTTTCAGAAGATAATTTTATCCATTGACATTTCTATCCATTGAAAAACCATAATCACCAATGATGAAGGTCTTTTAAGTTGGGACAGAACTAAAACAAGGAGTTGGACGCTAATTCCTTAGCTAAGACTCATTCACCACACTGTGCTGTCTACTCACTTTTCAAATAGAAATAGCATTTCCTCCAGTTCCCCTTGTTAATGGGCAGTTATCTATTATGGTGCTTATTCAATGGTACATGCATGAGTCATTTCAATGTGGGTAACTTCAAACAGGCAACTCCTTTCTGACCCTTAGAAGTTTAAAAGTTTGGAGAGTTCAATGCTCAGACTTTGTTCAGAAATATTGCTTAAAAGCCCATTGAATTCCTTTTTGGTTTCCCCCCCTGCCCCTTAGAGAATGGCAGAAGATCCAAACAAGAGAAGACTGACATTCCAAGGGACGAAGACCACCTGGATCATACCTGTGACCTTGGATGACCTTCTAGAACTGAAGATCACTTTCCCCTCGGCCCCCATCATCATGGGAAACACTGCAGTGGGTGGGTGATTTCTATGCAGGTTCTTGGTCGAAATTAGGTAACCCAAATACCTGCGCTTTCTTTAAACACTTCCTAAAAGTAATTAATCTTCAGTGGATCTTGACTGTCCTCTAGAATGCTTTGTTGTTTTGCTTTTTTAGTAAGTCACGTGAGTCACAATTTTCACTACAAATATTTTGTAAGCAACATCTACCAGTGCCCCTTGTCCTTCATTTCTAACTGCCTTAAATTATTTTCCCCTTAAGGACCCAGTATTAAGTTCAAAGATGCGTTCTATCCAGTTTTCATATCTCCAGTTGGGCTTCCAGAACTATGTTTTGCAGATGCCACTGATAGTGGTAAGCATTTTTTTGTTCAAACAAAATGTTACCATTGACTTGTGGTGGGATGCTGGTAATCAAACACATGTATTTGGCTAATTTGAGCACTAAACAGAATATCTAACCTTGTTGTGTTGTTGTTAAGTGCAGTTGAGCCGTAGGTGACTCAAAGCAACCCTATGAAAGAAAGTCCTGGACACACATGTGTGACTTTCATCCTTTCTCCAGGTTCATAGGGTTTCCGGAGGCAAGCTATTTACAGAAGTGGATGCCACTCCTGCTTCCAATCTAACCTTACTTACTCATTTATTTATTCAACAACTATTTAGTGAGTGCTATGTGTGCGAACAGAGCAGGGGAGCACTACATAGTTTAAAATTGAGAAGGGTCATATGGAATTTCTATGTTCAGCTTTTTATTTTTAGGCAATATGTGTCTTTGTTTAACAAAAAACCCACCAAACTTTTCCCACCCACAAACACATGAAAAGTGCAGAAACCAAAGTTAATCTATATGATGTATTTGCCTACTTTTACAAATAAGACAAATTAAAACAGAAACATGTTCAGAATTTAACCTGATTAAATATTTAGTTCAGTCCTGAGCTTTTGATATTTAATACAATATAGATAGAGCAATAGCAAAAAAAAGGAGAAATTCTAAATTTATTTTATTTGCATGCTACAGAATCTCAGCTAAACTTTGTTCATTTTGACTAGCAATGTTCAGCACTTTAAGGAAGCACCAAACTGCCTTCCAGAGTGTTGTATGATTGTACAATCCCACCAACAATGTAAAAGAGTTCCTATCTCACTGCATCCTCTCCATCATTTATTATTTGCTGTCCTTTAAGAACTGAGACTCAAACAGAAACTTGTACACCAATGTTCAAAGCAGTATTATTCACCATCACAAGTACATGGAAATAGCCAAGATGTCCAACCACAAACAAATAGGTTGAGAAATTGTGGTACATTCATACAATGGAAATACAACACAGCACATAGGAACAATCATTTTGTAAATTACTACCTTACTTGGGAGGGACTGAAGACCATTATGGTGAGTGAACTAACTCAGTCCCACAAGGGCAAATATTGTATAAAACCATTATTGTAGAATGAGTATGAGAATCCAAGAGGGGTGAGGATGAGGGGAGGGGAGGGTGTTAATCATAGGGTTGTACAATTTGATGGATGGGTGGGTGAAGGAAATGAGACGGATCTTTTGTGATTTTCAATGTATTTAAACTTTGTATATATATCAGAGTGGTGGTGTTGTTGTTGATTTCCTTCGAGTCGAGCATGACTCATAGCAACCCTATGAACAAAAGGCTAGAAGCCCATCTACAACTGAACTTTGATATCAGAGTAATACAAAAAAATGTTTTAAAAAGATGGAAAATTGAGAAGGGAGTGTGTCAGGGTTGTATTCTCTCTCCATACTTATTCAATCTGTATGCTAAGCAAATTATCCAAGAAGCTAGACTCTATGAGGAGGAATATGGCATCAGAATTGAAGGCAGACTCATCAATAACCTGCATCATAAAACAACTTTGCTTGCTGAAAGTAAGGAGTACTTGAAGAACTTGTAGAAGATCAAAGAGTGCAGCCTTCAATATGGATTACATCTCAACGTCAAGAAGACAAAGATTCTTACCACTGGACCGATGATAGGCAATGTCATGATCGATAGAGAGGAGACTGAAACTGTCAATAACTTCATCTTACTTTGATCCACAATAAGCACCCTTGGTACCAGCAGTCAGGAAAAAAAGGAGACACATTGCTCTGGGGAAATCTGTAGTTAGGGACGTCTCCTAATTATTGAGGAGTCATGATGTCCGTGTGAGGACTAAGGTGCATCTGATTCAGGCCATTCTGATTACTTGCTATGCATTTGACAGCTGGACAGTGACTAAGGATGACAGAAAAGAATTGACGCCATTGAGATGAGGTGTTGGAGAAGAGAACTGAACGTATGGTCAAGAGAATGAACAGATATGTCTTGGAGAGAGTGCAGCCAGAGTGCTATTTGGAAGCAAGAATGATGAAGCAAGAATATGAAGCAAGGCTTAGCCTCACATACTTTGGACATGTTGCTGTTTCTTGGAGAAAGACATGACGCTGGAAAGGAAGGAGGGGTGGCAAAGGAGAGAAAAATCCTCAACTAGGTGAATTGACGGTGACTGGTAGAATGAGCTCTTTTGTGTCAGGAGGTGTGAAGATGGCACAGGATAGAACAGGTTTCACATCTTTCATTCACAGGGTTGCCATAAGTCGAACTTGACTTGATGGCACCTAACAACAACTTGTGTTCTCTATGAGTTTTCTTGGTTGCTTTTGATATTGTAAATGATATTGAGTGGTTTTTTTGTTTGGGGATTGGGTTTTTTCCCCCAAATAACTCACTTAGTAGCATCACTGAATACTACATGGTTATGTTACTAGGTACCATTAAGTTGGGCACAATCCATAGCAACATTATGAACGATAGATGGGAACCTTGCCCTATCCATCATCATCCTCATCATCTCCATCATGCTCAAGCTCATTGTTGTAATTGCTGTGTCGATCCATCTTGTTAAGGGTCTTCCTCACTTTCTTTGGCCATCTACCTCTCACAGCATATTATCTCTTTCCTCTTGAATACATACCCAAAGAATGTGAAATAAAATTTCGTCATCCTTACTTCTAAGGAGCGCTCCAATTGCACTTCCTCCAAGACAGACTTGACTGTTCTTTTGACAATCTGTGGGATATCCAATACTCTTCACCAAAACACAATTCAAAGTCATTGATTCTTCTTTGGTCTTCAAAAAATAAGTTCATTGTCCAACTTTCAAAGGCATAGGAAGCAACTGAAAAGATCATGGTTTGATCAGGTGTACCTTGTTCTATAATCTGATAGGCTTGCTCTGTAGCACTTTAAATAGGTCCTTCACAGAAGATTTCTCCAATGCATCATGTCTTGATTTCTTTACTTCTTCTACCATGGGTGTTGCTGGGATATAAGTAAAATTAAATTGTTGACAATTTCAACATTTTCTCCATCTATCATGATGTTGCCTATTGATATAATGATGATAGCTTTTGTTTTCTTCATGTTGAGATGTAACTTATATTGAAGAATGTAGTCTTTGATCTTTTTTCAGTATATGCTTCTAGTCACCTTCACTTTCTCAAGTAAAGTTGTGTATCTGCATATTGCATATTGAGTATTCCTCCAATCTTGATGCCACATTTTTCTTCATGTAATCTTTAAGAGATTCATATCTGTTCCCATCCCAATAAAAAGGTGATCTAAAAGAGTTCAGAAAGCATCAAACAATATCATTACTATTACAAGCAAGTAAAATCTTGGTCAAGATAATACAAAAACAACTGGGAAAGTACATTGACAGAGGACCACCAGAAATTTAAGTTGTATTCAGAAGAGACTGTGGAATGAGATATCACTGTTGATATTAGATAGATCTTGACGAAAAGCCTAGAACTCCAGAGAGGTGTTTACTTGGGTTTTACTGATTAGTCAAAGGCATGCAACTGTATGGATCAGGATAAGTTATGGATAACATTGAGAAAAATGGAAATTCCAGAATATTTATTTATGCTAATGCAAAACCTATACATTTTCATGGGAGCCATAATTGCAGGTAACTCCACCAGTATAGAGTGTTTTGCTGAATTACAAAAACTAGACACATTTTCTGAACAGTAGAAAAGGTTCTTGCCAGATGTTATTTCATGATACACAAATTTGTTCCAAGACCATAGCACATGTGCACACACACAATCTGAGTAACAGATTTGAAAACTTAAGTCACTATAAACAATCACAGTTCTTTTTACACAGCTACACAATCAAGTTCTTTACATCTCTTGTCTCATAATCCTATGACAACTACATAAATTGGTATCGCAAGTAGCTTATCACTATCTCCATTATAGTGAATAAGGTACAGAATCCAAAAGCTAAACTTCCTCATTACACAACTAATGTATGAGCAAGTCTGAGCTAGATCCTAGGTCTTCTTATTCATAATCAAGTACTCTTTCCACATAATGCTCTGAATAAAGATATCCGAATAACATTTCTTTCCATGTACCATGCAGACTAGAGGCTTAAATGATTAAGAATTTACAGGAACTGAAAACCCTCCCTAAAATAATGTTCTTCCCGGTGGATAGGCAGAAATCACATGGAAAATTGCCTACTTCCCCTCCAATCTGTCATTTGCAAATTTGTCAGCCCATTCATTTTTTTTACCTGCTAGAAAATTCATATTAATAAGCTATTGGTAAGATATGAAACAACGGGAAGCTAATCAGGTACAGTAGAGGGTTGGGAATAAAGTTAGAAGGTGCCTAGTTAGAGTGAAATGTGTATTATAATATTACTATTGAGATAAGGAACAAGCTACATGGGGGCCTAGTCCATGGAGCATTGTGCTGTTAGCCTAAAGGATGCGCAACCAGCAGTTAAAATCCACCAGCTGCTCCAAGGAAAAAAGGTGGACAGTCACCTCTCATTAAAATGTAGTCTTGGAATCCCTCAGAAGGGTCACTACAAGTCAGAACTGACCAGACAGCAGTGAGCTGAGTTACAGTCAATCCATATCTACCATGTTGATGGGGTGTTGTTTAACCAACGCTGATTCATAACGACCTAAGGACATACTTGACCTACCCCAGAGGTTTTCTAAGCTATAATCTTTATGGGAGCAGATAACGAGATCTTTCACACAAACATGCTGGTGACTTCAAACTACCAACCTTCCAGGTAGCAACAAAGCATTTAACCATCATGTCATCAAGTCACCTAGCTCTAGATCTCTATTTGCATTCACAGCTATAGTTCCAGCTACATCTATGGTTACATCTATCTGTCTATCACTTCACTGTAATGATGAGGAAGATTGGGGAGGTCGTGCCTGTAGAACTAGGCCAGTGTTTCTTAATCTTTTCTTTGTTTTTGCTCCACTAAAGAGCCTTTTTAGACATATTTTCCCTTCCATACGTACCCAAAAAATTTAATAGCACAAGCATACCATGTATCTGTTTATGTATCATATGTATATTTGGACTTTATTTATAAAAAAATAATTTTTTTTCACCACCTTAGAGACAATATTTGTCCCTGTTGAGAACATATAGACAGAAGACAACCCTAACAGTATCATACTCAGTAAGCATTGTTGTTTTATACCTCTGAGTCAGAACCAACCCATAGCTGACCCTCTGGTGGGTTTTCACAGACAGTTAATCACAAGGGAGGAGATTGCCCATTTTTCTCCTGTGGAGCAACTGGTGTACTCGAACCAAGTGCCTTCAGGATTATAGTACAACTTCTTACCACTAAGCCATCAGAGCACCCTGTAAGCATACCTGCAAATACAACTGCCTCAAGACAGGTGGCTATTCTAATCTTATTATAAAGGAGCAATGAAAGAAATGAATGGGGAAGAAGAAGCAAACGGACAATGCAAATGCTGCGGGTCAAATCCCACTTAACCTTAACCCTTAAAACATCTCAGGAAAACTTGACTGAAATTTTTCTATTTCATTACTTTACTCAGGAAAACACGAAGTTGGAGATAAATGAAGCAGTGACCCCCTTTTCCTTATGAATCAGGGTGAAGTCTCTCTCAGGGAGGAGTGACAGGGAATGACAAAGGGCACACTGACAAAGGAGATTAATCAGAACTGGCTTGACAAGCACTGTGGCAATTGGACAATTAAAACAGACTTCCAAGGGTGGGGGGGGGGGAGAAGAACAAACTGGGGAGGAGAGTAGAGAAAATAGTGCAACAATGAATGAATGAAAACCCAATATCTCTGTAAATGTTCATTAAAATTAATAAAATTTAATAATTTAATAATAATAATTTAAAATATGAAGCAGTGACTTTTAATACCTATGGTTTACATGTCTTAAAATGTATAGCATTAGTATTTAGTGTTTGGGGATAAAGTTGCCAGAATTATCTTTGATTTCTATCATTCTAAGTAGCTTTGGAAGAGGAAGCTAGATTTTATTTAAAAGGTTATTTTCAAGCAATTCTCTCTTGTTAGAGTTCCCAATTAAGCTAATATCCTAATTTCTTCTTCTCAGGAGTGACAATAGGTGCAGGCTATAGCCTGGCCCAGTTGACTGATACCTTACTTTTTACCATTTCGGAGCAACCAAAGGAGAAAACTCAGACCCACCGGGCTCTCCTGAAGCATCTGAGGACACTCGCAGGACTCCAGATTAGGAATATAGCGGTAGGCTTTCTCGTGTTGTGTAAAATAAATCACAGTTACACAGTTTTGTTCTGTATTAGAAAAAGTTACTCTGACGAGGAATTCTAAAAAATATTGAACAACTTTCTGTAAGTGTGTATATGTGTATGTATGTGTCCCAAGTGAAAGAAATCGCATCATATACATATAGTTGTCCAAAATGAGAAGTCAAGTGTTACACATATATGACAGAACAGCTGTAATAATGGTTCAAAGTTAGTAATCATTGCGAGTATGGGGCAGGACTGAACTATGTTTCATTCTCTTGTAGACAAGGTCACTCTGAGCTGGAACTAACTGGATGGCACCTAACAATAAGGGAACTGTGTGTGTGGACACACACACACACACACACACAGTCCAAAGATTCTTAAATTTGAGTCCTAACCTCTCATCAACAAGTGATATGGCCCTAGAGAAGCCATTTGACCTCTTAATTTTAAAAATTAAAGTTGAAGTTAATGGACTTTCTCTAGTGAAATATATACCTTGCAGGTATAGGAAGCAGTTTACAATTGTTCTTAAACCTAGTTCTAGGGAGCTTTGGTGGCCTAGTGGCAAGAAGCTGCACTGCAACCCCAGAGGTGAGTGGTTCGAATCCACCAGATGCTCTGCTGGAGAAGGAGGGGCAACCTCCTCCTATACCAGTCAGATCTGATTTGATGGTACACACACAAAAATAATTAAAAAAATAAAATAAAATTTAAAAAAAACCAAAACAAACCTAGTTCTCCTACTACATCTTTGCACAGAGGTCTGTTCCTAAACACTGATAGGTGGTGTCCCATTCTTGGATATCCCTAGTAGTCCAGCTTCCTAGAGATTCCTTATTATTAAAGATTTAAGGATGATTAATTCCAACTATGACCTATTCGATAGGATTGAGAGGATGGGGCAGTGTAGGATATGCATCTCTTCTGATTGTTTCTGACTCTTTCCTGCTGACTCTTGAAATTTACCATGTGTTTTCACCTTCTGCACCTTCTATTTCTTTAACGGAAGACTCCATTGCACAGATGCACAACAGATAAATGTAAACAGTGCTTGTATATAGCACTTAATAAGTACACTCAGAACTTACTCAGACTCCACCCTCAAACCTCACTCTTATGTAATGGGCCCTCCTTCACTGCATTAACTATCACCCATCCTTCTTCCAAAACTGCTGACCCCAGCCTTAAATTCTCATTAATTTCCTTTTTTATCTTCACCAATAAATACACATATCAAGAAATATTCTAAACAAGGACAAGTGTGTATCAAAATCAATTCTCAAAGAACATTTTCTGGCCCCATCCTGAATGTGGTATGAAAATCCTGGGGTCCCAGCTGAGACTTCTGCTGGGACTTCAAGTCTTCTCCTGTCCCCTCTCTTTCCCTTCCCTACAGGGGTCAACCCCCAAAGAGTACAGAAGCTTTAGCAAGTGGACACTTGCACTTTGGGGGCCCACTGGTCAGTCAGGCTGCAGGGAGGCCTCAACAGCGCATGGTGCTAATGAGCTCCTTCTCTGGGCCCCATATTGTCTGAAAGGGGACTGCAACCTCTTCCCTCAGCTCTTCCTGATCACTTCAACTGTGTCAGCTGGGCACTGGCGAGACTGACTCCCTGGAGAGATAGTCTGGAAGCCATTTTCCCTCACTAGGAATATTTTAATGGTTTTAGCTTTTTCTAAAAGACTTGGGAAATGCCCTCGACACCCCCCCCCCACTTTTAGGCCAGAGCATCTTGGGAGTGGGGATAAGTCTGCCCTGTGTTCCCCAGGATTCAGCTTGTTCTGGAAGGTCAGAGCATGAGAACTGAAACTAGCGGTCAGCCCTGGCAGAGGCCTTGGGCAAGTGAGGGGCTGCAATCTCTTTGCCCAACTGCAAGGGTTCAAGATTATTGTTTGTCAGGGACTTCTCCAGAGTACTAAAGAGCAACAAGGTAAGGCTGGAGACCAAGGTGAGCCTGATCCAGGCCCTAGTCTTCGCAATTGTGTGCTATGCATCAGAGAGCTGGACAATGACTAGGGATGATAGAAAGAAAATTGATGCTTTTGAGCTGTAGTGCTGGAGAAGAGTGTTGAATACACCAGGGACTGCTAGGAGAACCAACAGGTTTGTCCTGGAGAGGGTGAAACAGGGCTGCTCCTTGGAGGCAAAGATTGTGAAACTTCATCTGACATACTCTAGGCATGTTGCAAGGAGGGACCAGTCCTTGGAGAAGGACATCAGGGCAAAAGAGGAAGACCCTCGATGAGTTGGATAGATTCAATGACTAGGGTAATGGGAGTAGGTGTGTCAGAGACAGTAATGTTGGCACAGGATTGAGCAGGGTTTAGGGCTCTTTTATACAGGGTCATTATGAATCACAAGTGGCTCAGCAGCACATAATAACAACAACAACATTATCAGTAAAGGGGAGGGAACCCATCTTGAGGTTTCTAAGTAGGATAAGTGTCAATAACACCACTAAGAACTCTAGAATTTACCCCCTTCACCCTCGGGGCCTGGACACAGTGTAATTGGGATGGACATGGGGAAACTGTGAATACTTGAACTCTATCCTCTCACCCACTCCTTATCCCTTTTCCACCCAGCTCTTCAGCTGCCTTGGCCCTTCCTGGGCATGGGGCTGCATGGTCTTGTCTACCTTGACACCCTAAGGGTTGGCAGTAAGGGGAGTAAAGCCCTTGACTAAGCCCAATGTGTGGGAGAGAGCAGATGGACCTTTACCCTTTAAGTGTGTTTGAAAATAAACTGTGCAATCCATACCCCTCCCCTCAAAAAAAAAGAACATTTTCCTCCTTAGAATGTGACTGTTTTCTTGGGCATTGAGTTTGACTTGGGAGCAGTGGTAGGATTCTGGCACAATATGCTGTCTGGATGTATTTAAATTAAAAAAAAAATCTCTATGAGGCAAAAGATAATTTTTAAAAAAGTACTCAAATTCCCTGTCTAGAAAATTCATTTTTGTCAAATAACTGAATGTGGCTGAAAAAATATGCTTTTTTTTTTCATTTTATTTAGACTTTAGGAGGACATGTGGTGAGCAGGCCTAATTATTCTGACCTAAATCCTATTTTAGCTGCAGGAAATGCTACCATCAATCTGAGGTCCAAAGGTAAGAGATCAAGTTTTAAGCATCCTGTCACATAATCAATAACCACAACAATGGATCCAAACACACGCAGGATCACAAATACGGCCTAGACTGGGTAGCACTGCATTCTGTTATATAAAAGGTCACCATGAGTCAGGGTTGACTGGTCAGAACTAACAACAACAGTCTTTATTACTATCACTGTCAGTTTTAAGCTCCATCCATAAACCATGAACCAGAAACCCAAGTATACCTAACTTTATAAACTATATTTCTATTACCTGAAACCTAGGGATGAAACTAGGATCAATTCTCTACTTTAATCTTGTGAGCTTGAAAATTTTCCTTAAATATTTGACCAATAGTTTGAAAATACTTGTGTAGAGCTCAGATTATAATATCAAAGCAGTTTTTAAATTGTGTGACTGGTATTACTGTGATTTTTTTTTCGTTGTTATTTTATATTGGTCTGCATATCAAATTCCTTTTGTAGAGCAAACTTATTATTGCTAATTTTTTTAAAATTACTTATACAACAATGAATGAATGGAATCCCAAAATCTCTATAGATGTTCATTGAAATGAAAAATAAACAACCTAAATTAAAAAAAAAATTACTTATAAATAAGTTGATATTAGCTAGATTTTGCACTCATCACCAGCACCACTCACCTTGCATATACAATTCTCTTTTTTTCATCCTTAGAAAGCAAGTTTTATTTTTATTAAGACCAGACCAAGAACTCTAAGCACATGAGAGATTCTAAACAGTGAGCCAGTGAGATTTACAAGTGTTTACCTAAGAGAGACCTGTAGTCTACTGTCTACTGTCAACAGGAGACCACCAAAGCACGTCTGTTGCTTGTGGCATCAGGAAGATCTGTACTTGTCTATGGAGCTGTCCTGTGCTTAAATGTTCTTGAGAATATGTGAGAAGAGGAATGAAGGTGGGAGAAAACTTTCCAATTCTCTTCTTCATTTTCTCCATTCTAATGTTTTCTGATTCTGCCTTAGGGGGAGGGACAAACGATCACTGGTCATTTTACAAAGAACTTAGCCATCAAAGAACACAGGCAGAGGGAGAATATATAGGAAATTGGTGCTAAAGTCATAGAGGGATATTGGTGGGGAGAAATGAATGTTTGTCCTAGAAAAGGCTGCACAGGAAGACAGGCCCTGGGTTCAGTTAAGTGTGCTGGGAGATTGGAGGCTGTTTTAGTAAAGACTCATCTTCCTGATTCAGGAATTCTTGCTCGCTAACTTCTCCATCTCCATCTTGATCTGCCTCATCAAGCATTTCCTGAAGTTCTTCATCAGTGAGATTTTTACCCAACTCCTTCACCCCGTGTTTCCAATTTTTTAAAAAGATCCTCCCAGTCTCATCATCATTACAGAGTTTGAAAACTTTCAGGAGTTCTTCTCTAGTATCTTACAAATATTCTCTGAGTTGTCACAGTCACATTTTTCCTGTTCGTTCCTTATCAATCTCACTGATCATTTCCTTGATTACTTCTTTCTTGGGCTCAAAGCCCAGGGCCCTCATTGCCACCTTAAGTTCTCTGACAATGATGGTACCATCATTGATGGAAACATCAGCATCAGAGAGATCAAAATCTGCTTAGATTTCCTTTTTCTGCCCTTCCATAAATTCAGGCTTGGAACTCATCCTGTTTCACTGGGAAGTTGATACCATGCTTGTCTTTCTAAAGCTGGAGTACGTCCTGGATGGACTGCTGGGCTGTTGTTATGGCAACGGACTTATAAACTCATTCGCTCTGTTCCTGTCGTCCTGTGCGCCTGTGACCTGGCTGTCCATTTACATATAAAATTCTTATACATTGTGTTTCACACTTTCCTTCAGTCACATTGTGTTTCATACCATCATTCTCATACAAAGTGTTTTAGCAAATTAATCACCATTGAAGTATGCGCACCATTACCTCATCTTTTCAGGTACCCGCTAGATTTTTCCCCCATTTCCTTTATGCCCTTAAATGTCTTTTAGGGCTAGCTTATTTAAGAATTTTAAAATGGCCAATTGCTATCAAGTCAATTCTGACTCATACTGACCCTGTATAAGAGAGTGGAACTGCCGTAGATGGTTTCCAAGGTTGCGTCTTTATAAGAGCTAACTACTTCATCTTTCTCCCGAAGAGGAAGTGTCTTCAGGCTTCGTTTGAGTTCACATTGTCAACCTTTTAGTTAGCAGCACCACCAGAGCTCCTTAGAGTTTCATGAAGATGGCAATTTCTTTGTTTCCTCTTTCTTTTTTGTTCACAATTTGGCCTCATAAACTTCGTTGTTTAAGGGAGCACATTCCTCACAGATGGTATTGTTTATTTCGTCAGCCCATCTATTCTTTTGCTGAAGTAATAGTGACTTCTGAGGATGACTTCAGTTCCAAGTTAGGATAATCTCTTGGAGATACCTCTGTCAGTTCAATAAATCTGGTCTGGAATTAGGACTTTGTATTTTTTCTATATATTTCTCTCATTCTATCCAAGATTTCTATTTTGTCCCTGATCAGAAGTACTGGTGGTGGTGGTAGCCCAGCTATCTAGCTCTTACTGGTCTCAGGTTAAAAGTGACCATGGGACCTTCTAAAAATTAAATCCCTGTACGCATCAGAAACTTCTTCCAATAGGGTGAAAAGAAAACCTATCAACTGGGAAAAAAAGCATTTTGGCAATACCATCTCAGACAAGAGTCTCATAAAAAAGTTTACAGAATAGCCCTGGGCCTGCAGAAGGGGAAACAAAACCACAAACCAAACCCTGATAATCCAATTACAAAATGAGCAAAAGACATGGAAAGACTTTTCAGAGAGAAAGACATTCAGATGGCCTACAGATATGTGAAGAAATGCTCAAAAATCACTGGCAATAAGAGATGCTAATCAAAACCACCATGAAACCCAGTAGTAGTGGCAAAGTTTAGCAAAGCAGCAAGCAATATATGTTGGAGAGGATGTGTAGAGTTGAGAACTCTCATAACTGTTGGTGGGATTGTAAAATGGTACAACCACTCTGGAAAACAGTTTATTGTTTTCTAAAAAAACCCTGAATATAGAAACTCCATATAAGCCAGCTATTCTACTACTAGGAATATACCCCAAGGAAGTTAGAACTGAGACACAAAAGGAGATTTGTACACCAATGTTCAAATCAGCATTATTCACCATTGCAAGAATTAGAAATAGCCCAAATGTCCAACCACAACTAAATGGATTGAGAAATTGTAGTACATTCACACAACGGAATACTTTGCAGCAGTCAGTAGCAATGATTTTGAAAAATACTACATAACTTGGGAGAGAATAGAGAGCATTATGCTGAGAGAACTAAATCAGTCTCATAAGGACAAATACTGCATAAAACCATCATTGTAAAAGTAGAAGGATAACTGGTAAAAGAAATACGGGGATCCAAGGGGGGAAGGTGTAGGAGCAGAGAGGTGAGGATGAGTAGGTGCAAAAATCACAGAGTTACACAATTTGGTGCATGAAAGCAAGGTATAAAGAAAAGTGAAAAGATCAGGTAGGGACCCGAAAAGGGTAATGGTGGGCATAGTCCAATGGTGATTAATTTTATAAAATATAAAAATGTGAATGATTGTATGAAACACAATGTGAATGAAGAATAATGTGAAACACAATGTATATTAACTTTGTAAGCAAACTAATATAAAATAATTTTTAAGTGACCATAGTTCACTAATAGCCCTATGAACAAATTTCATTTTCTTTGCATCTTTGGTTTTCTTCATCCTTTTTTAGTGTTCCAGATGAAGAAAGACTAATACTTATATCTTAGATGGCTACTCAGAAACTTTTAAGATCCTAGTCACAAAAACAAGGATATAGAACACTAAAATTGCACTTTTTCTTACAGTTCATTTTCTTTTAGACAAAATCAAGTTTGTGAGGTTTATTACTCATATTTTTCTCTTTATTAAAGATAATTAGTTAAATGTAGGGAAGTAAAAACAAATACATGTTATTCATAAAGCTACTGATATAGTCTACTTTTTCCTTGATTGAAAACACTTTTTTATTAAAATATGATAAACCCTTTAAGGAAAATAAAAACCATGTATCTGGAATCGCACCTGTGACAGTAGACCTACTTCTCACACTTTGGGAAAGTCATTTAATTTTTATGGACCTCGGTTTTCCCATCTGTAAAATGCTTACATTGCGCTAAGTTATTTCCAAATAGCTTTAAAGATTCCAAATGTCAAAATTTGTGAGTGGCCTATAATAGACAGAAAACAGATCCCAGATTATCTTGTCCAAACTTGTCATTTTACAGATGAGGAAAGACAAGATTTCATGACTTGCCTGAGAAGACCCAATTTGAAAGCTAATTTGCTCCTCTATTTTCCAGATTTCAGTCTGCATTTGTATCAAACACATCATGACTGTCACTTATGGCCCATTCTCTAATGTGATTAAAACAGAAACAAACCAGGGGCAGTTGAGCTAATTCCAATACATGTTAACCCTACATAGAGTCATAGACGAAACATGCTCCACAGGGAAGCTATGATCCTTTAGAAGTAGATCACTCACCAGGCCTTTCTTCCAAGATATCTTCAGACAGATGTAAGCCACCAACTTTCCAGTTAGTAGTTAAGTTACTGATCATTTGCGTCATCCAGGGACTCCCTAACTGTGAGGAATTCTTCCTAACCAGGATCATTTTCTCTAACAGACGGAGAACGGCAAATTGCTATAAATGGCCAATTCCTTGAGCGAGTACCTGAAGCTGACCTTAAATCAGAAGAGATTGTGTTGTCTGTTAATATTCCCTATTCCACTCAGGTATGGACTTCGAAGCTCCGTGCCCACCAAGTGGAGCCCTGCTCTACACAGTGAGCCTGCAGTTGGGCCTCTGGGAGAAGTAGGCTCTCTCCATTTAAACTAACTACATCAGCTTCTCAAAAGGAGAGGCACATCCCAAGGGGCAATTTGATATATTGTTTTCATATCAGGGCCAAATTATGGTTTTCATGGGCCTTAGGCACTTTTACCCATATTTTCCACCATTAAATAATCATAATAATATTCAAATTCTATTTTATGACTATGTCAGCACAAAGATTGAATATATTCCAGGCTGGGTTCAGTTTTATATTCATTAACAGTATACTCATGTTTCCAATTCTTAAAAGAAGTTAAAACATTTTCCTGAACTCCTAAAAGTGTTGTGAATCCTACTCCTGTGCCTTCTGTACATACTTAAAGGGCATGTCAGACCTACTTGCAGAAAGAGTCTCTCATGAGAGAAGCTGAAATTTTCATCTCAGATAAGTATGCATTTTAGGTAAGATTGAGTAAGTGTATTGCTGATGTTATCTGCAGCATATTTCTGATAAGTAAAATGTTCATTATCATAAAGATACTTCCAAGTCAATTGATACTTACTAC